CCTCCCCGCTTCCCTCCATCTGTCCCCAGTCCCTCAGCTGTGGCTGGTGGCTCCAGATCACCATCGGGGAAGAGGTGGGAGCCAGCATTGCCCCTGCCCCTCTGTGCATCCTCCCTTCCACTCACCCCCCAGCCCCTCCGCGCCCCCCACCTGGAAACACGTCCCCCTCTGGAGTGGGACCGGGCTGGGGCCGGCAGCTCCCCGGGACACGACTCGTTTGGGAGCTGGGGAAGGGAAAACTGGCTCTTGCCACCACTCTTTGTCAAACAAATCCACACCTAAGGACACAGCAGACAACGGGGAGGACTGGAAGGCAGCAAGCCAGTGTGCTGGAGGAAGCCAACTTGGCAGGGCTGGGACCAGGGCAGGGAGAAAGCCAGGGCTAAAGGAGAGAGGGACACAGGGGCAGATGCTGTGGGCTCTGGAAACCACCGCCAGACCGAGTGATTCAGCCAAAACACATAGAAAATTAGTGACAGAGCCAAGAATAAGGACACAGCTCCGTCAGGGTGTCCAGCAAAGGGACACTTCTTTGGATACAGCGGGAAGGACAAGAAAAGGGTCACACACCATGCAGGTGACTCCTGCTATGTGAGCTGCCACCCCCGGCCACAGGGCTGAGGGCAGCTCACGGCCACCATCACAGTGCCTGAAGCTCGGATTTGTACGGCAATTTCTGCAGCGAGAACTTATTCTGTGCAAGGGCTTTGCACATGGGAAGGTTGCTCCTCCAGCCGGGTGCCTGCAGCAGGGAGCTGGGCAGTGACAGCAGCGGCGCAGGACAGCAGGGTGGCTCCCAGGGAAGGCACTGCTGAGGTCTCCCAGCAGGAAAAAAACAAAAGCAATTCATTAATTACAAGTCTAATAAATTCAGTCTCTAATAAGTGCTGGGTCACAGTTTCTGCACGGCTTTACCCATGCATTGTGCTCACCACGACAACACTTCACCGATTCCCAGCGCTCTGGCTAAAACGTGCCACATCTCTGCCCATCCTCAATTAGCAAAACGGGAATATCTTAAATAGAATAATTCAAAATAAAGTGAGATATGAGATGTGGAGGAGGTATTGGTTAGATGGCTTGTTTGAATTCAATGGAGCCGTGTGCTCTGGCTTGTTGAGCTCTGTTTTGATTTATAGAAATAATAAAAGCCGATGCAGATGTATAAGTTTTGATTTCTCCAACCAGAACATGGTGGAGCCTCATACAGCGAAGCCCCAGTGAGATCCAGGCTGGTGGAAGCCTGCCTCCCAGTAAGGCCCCAGCTGGCAGCCAGAGCATACTGGTTATTGGTCTTTGCGGGACTGCACCTCTGCATGTGTTCTTTCACACAAAATTACAGTGATACTTAAGTTATAGTGAATTCAACATGTTTTCCTGGGCTCATCTCTCAGCCCCCTAAGGAAGAACTGGCTGGTGTTATAGAATCATAGAATCATAGAATCATTAAGGTTGGAAAAGACCTCTAAGATCACCGAGTCCAACCGTCGACCCAACACCACCATGCCCACTAAACCGTGTCCCTAAGTGCCGCATCTACACGTTGCAATGATGCGCCTCTCAGTGTATCCTTCCTTGCAGCTGGAGCTCTCAAAGCAACATCCAAAGGTATTGAGTACCTCTCAAATACCTTTCATGAGGAAGAATTGAAGGCAGCAAATCCGTCGGGGGATGGACAGTAAGGAGAGAGCAGGGATTCGGTCGGCAGAATGGATTCTGCACTGGAAAAAGGCGGTCGAAGAGGTGATGCCCTCCGGGACCCCCGGCCCCACGCAGCCCCAGGGAGGACGAGGCTTCCCTGGGATGGAGCTAATCAGCAGGGAATTACCAATAAAGTCAAAAAGCTACGAGAGGCAGGTTAGACCTGGATGTTCATCATGTTCTGTCAGGGTACGTTATTTTAATACAGTAATTGGCTGTTCATAATTTTTCTTTTCTCTATATTGTTAAAAAAAAAAACCCAAACAAAACAAAGCAGACCTTCGTTTTCCTCCAGACAGGCAATCCGCTGTATTAGCCGCCCGGGCACCGTGCAGGATTATTTGAATACAACATGAATAAAGCCTGCAGCACGTACAGCCAGTGACACAGTTAACCGTTACAGTGTAAGAGGCCCCCAGCAGCCATACATATATAATCAATTAGAAATACACATTTTGGGCTTCAGTCTCTCCCCCCCACCCCGCCCCCGCTTCAGTGCAGATGTACTTAGGCTAAAACACTCGGATCGATTTTCCATTGCTGATTGTCTCATACAGCAACTTCTGCCGTGGCAAAGTGTGCGCACGATGCCAGCGCTCACACCAGGAGCATTTCCCACCGGCGGGCCAGGGCCAGGCTGCAAGAGGGCACCGGTGATGCCACCCAAAACCCCTGTGCGGCCCCAGAAGCACAGCTAAGCTCGCCTACCTCATTACCAGCTCTCCATAATTCCTTCCCCATAACGCCTGCCTCCCTGCTAATGGCAAAAGATTATGAAGATGAAGCGGAAACTCCTTCTCCTGGCCAGGAGCTCGGTGTGGCAGTCCCAGGCAGGACAATTAGCACGTTGCATCTTCTCAGCATCCTCCAAAACTTGGGGCAGGACTTTGCCAAATCCTGCAACAGCTGTGTTTTGGCTTTTTTATTTGATGTAACACCATCCAGTGCCATCTCAGCATTTCCAGGGCAGCACTTTGACCTC